ACTTCCTTGGATATACTGTACAGTACAAAAAGATAGGATAAAAATAAACCAGTAATATTTTTTTCATTATATTTTTCATTTAAATAACTGCATCAATATTTTTACAGCTGACAGGATTTGTTTTACCATACAGGTGCATTATTTGTTAAAAAAAATTTGGTTTATTGTTACACACAATGGTGCTACATAGCCTTCCCAGCTTGGTGCCTTCTTTTAATACTTACTGATTAAAAAATAAATAATAAATACATTTTATTCAGGAAAAGTACATACAGTTGATTTACAAACATAATGTTGGATTTATAGACAGAGCTAGCACATACAATACCTAAAGCCACTAATACTCATAGCATTTCGGGCAAGGTGTGGGGGGAAAAACACAGACTAAAACTTAATAGTAATCGGGATTAGGTATAAATTGTGTTGAAAGAAGGAATAAAAAATACAAAAAGGGGGTTAACATAGCATAAATCAGCAATTGCACATGTTGGTGAACAGCATTGTTTAAAAAATAGCAAGACATGGGTTGACATTTAGGAGGTAAGTTAGGTTACATGGAGTTAATTAGGCAGTACTTGGTTTAACTCTTAAACTGGTTGAGAGAGGTACAGCCTTTGACATGATTCGGGAGGTCATTCCACATTCTGGGTCCCTTGATTTGTAGAGCACTTCTAGTTTGGTTACACACAGCCAAATTGAGTAACAGGAAGAGGTCTTGGACACAAATTTGTTCCATGCTAAATGTAGAGGAATCAGCTGAGTATTCCTCAAATAAAATAAGTTGCCTCAGCTTATAAGGTAAATAAAATAAGCATTTCTCAAATAAGTAGCTGCCTCACCTCACTGCCTTACTGCTACATAGCCTTCCCGGCATGGTGCCTTCTTTTGATAATTACTTGTTCCACACCCAAATTGTATAACAGGAAGAGGTCTTGGACCCCTACTTCCCTCTCTTTTTTAATAATCTATATAGTCATAATTATAGCTTTAAGTATTCAATGAATAAAGTTTTTGACATTTTTACCCTTTTCCTTACCTAACATCATTTGTGCAGCATATTTTTATTGTATGTCTCACCCAGATTTAATTTCAAAATAAAACCACACTAAATAAATTAGAAATGGGTATGTATAGCTAAGGTACACCCTTACTACTAGGTGAACAGGGGCATTTGGTGATAGTAAATGATCCAATCAGGCAGGGCTCATCACCTTCTCTCATATTTCATGTTCACCAGTGTTTATTTACTTAATAACTACGGGTATAATATCTTGCTATTATAAAACTAATTCTACTATCATCAAACACATATTTACTTCAAGTTTCAAGCAGAGAATGCATATATAACTAACACGAAGGACTCCTCTTCACTAGATTCACCAGCTATAATATTTTGGTCATGTTCCAATATCATAAATCGATTTCAGTGTTATGTAGTAGAGAAAAAATGACTTATATCCAGTATACGTAAAGCTACGAGTGGTCAAAACCACACTTAAATCCCGGAATGAACTTACGAAGGTTTTTCCACTTAGGGTAGTTACTTGAATACGGACGTAGCCGCCACGAAGGCGCTAAGAGGGAAAACGTTCTTAGCTAAGAGGAAAAACCTTCGTAAGTACCTTCCTGAATCCGGCCCCAAGACCGTCAGTAGTTTGAAAGCGTTATATGACAAAGAGTGCTGGGAAGACGGGACACCACGAGCGTAGCTCTCATCCTGTAACTACACTTTGGTAATTACTTAGAGAGGAAAGATTGCCTGGGGAACAATACTTTTTCTTAGATCACACACTTCACAAGAAATTTTTTTAAGTAAACATGACATAAGAGGATGAAAGATAAAGGAATTAAATTACTATTGGTGAGTGAATGATCTAGTTGCCTTAAAATGTTTTTATTTAATTTCTTCTGAACTTGTACACAGGTTGGCGATGTTTACTCTCAATTACTTAAACTTACATAGTAGTTAGACACCTCTAATTGGTGATAGCGATTGTTAAACGAAGGCCACTCTATACCAGCACTCAATAATCAATACATATTATACTGTTAAGTGACCGAAGTCTGTACACCTCTTTACATATTTTGAACATAAGCCTACATGTGCACCATTACATGTGCTGAACACAGGTCAACATGTGCACCATTACATGGGCTGAACACAGGTCAACATGTGCACCATTACATGGGCTGAACACAGGTCAACATGTGCACCATTACATGGGCTGAACACAGGTCAACATGTGCACCATTACATGGGCTGAACACAGGTCAACATGTGCACCATTACATGTGCTGAACACAGGTCAACATGTGCACCATTACATGGGCTGGACACAGGTCTACTTGTGCACCATTACATGGGCTGAACACAGGCCTACATGTGCACCATTACATGGGCTGGACACAGGTCTACTTGTGCACCATTACATGGGCTGAACACAGGCCTACATGTGCACCATTACATGGGCTGGACACAGGTCTACTTGTGCACCATTACATGGGCTGAACACAGGCCTACATGTGCACCATTACATGTGCTGAACATAAGCCTACATGTGCACCATTACATGTGCTGAACACAGGCCTACATGTGCACCAATACATGTGCTGAACATAAGCCTACATGTGCTGAACACAGGCCTACATGTGCACCAATACATGTGCTGAACATAAGCCTACATGTGCACCATTACATGTGCTGAACACAGGCCTACATGTGCACCAATACATGTGCTGAACATAAGCCTACTTGTAATACCCAAAACTGAAATAAAGTCTGGAATTGTGTGACTTTAATAAGTCACAAATATCATCCTGCCACTTTGTGTATAACTGCTTTATTAACTTTAAACACAAAATCAAATCAAACATAAAATCAAGTGATATCATGGACAATTTATTTTGAGGAATTAAAATTATGCAATGACGCGTATGGCACTAGGCTTGTAGGTCGGACCTCATAATGTGTATAGTGTCAGTACTTGGGGCAGGCTCTTGGGGCAGGGTCTTGGGGCAGGCTCTTGGGGCAGGCTCTTGGGGCAGGGTCTTGGGGCAGGCTCTTGGGGGAGAGTCTTGGGGGAGAGTCTTGGGGCAGGCTCTTGGGGCAATTGGGTCTGGGGCCCAGGAGAAGCCTAGCGCCTGGGCTTAATGTACTCCAGTCTTGTCAATCAAAACTGTGTTCTAACCGTGGCCACTGTGTTCTAACAGTGGCTACTGTGTTCTAACAGTGGCTACTGTGTTCTAACAGTGGCTACTGTGTTCTAACAGTGGCTACTGTGTTCTAACAGTGGCTACTGTGTTCTAACAGTGGCCACTGTGTTCTAACAGTGGCCACTGTGTTCTGACAGTGGCTACTGTGTTCTAACAGTGGCCACTGTGTTCTAACAGTGGCCACTGTGTTCTGACAGTGGCCACTGTGTTCTAACAGTGGCCACTGTGTTCTAACAGTGGCCACTGTGTTCTAACAGTGGCCACTGTGTTCTGACAGTGGCCACTGTGTACAGGCTGGTGGTAAAGCACCATGGGGTTGCAAGGTAAGGTTAGGTTTGCTCCACATTTACGCCACAAAACAGATATGAGTCAGATATTAAGTACAGTTTGCTTTGCTTTGATCACTTCTGCCATGATTGTCACTCCTAAAGTTTTATTTGTTTTTATTTTGAATGGTTTTCTAAACAAAAAGTAAAATTTTATATTTTTATTAAATCATTTCAGTAAAACGGATGTGAACCTGACTTAAAAAATGTTGGCAACGCTGCCGTTGGCAAGTCCGGCCTTGTGTAGGCAACCCACAGTACTATCACCCTTCTTCTTCTTCTTGAGAATAGGCGCAGTTTGCATGAAGGGGTAACCCTCCCGATGACTGCACCAGGACAGATGTAAGGAGACGCGTTGACGGTCAGGAGGAGAAGAAAGTCAAAAGCGGTAGATGTGATGGGCCGTAGAGAGAGGAGTGGCGACGAAAACAGAGGCGAACGTTAGAGGGAGACTCCCCGCACCGGGGGGCGGGGCGTCGTGATCACGGTGGCAGCTGATCCATGCACGGCTTAGCAGCGTGCGCAAGACGGGAACTAATACTTCTCCGGAAACTTGTGTATCGGAAAGCGCAAGCAGTACGCTTCCCATATCACCCGCAGGTCAGCGGGCAGCCGGCCACCAGGCGGCGCCCTCGGCTGAGACATCCTATCCGGCACCCTATACACAAACTCCTTCACCCGCGACACCCAGATAGTGGACGAGCACCACGGGATCGGAAGCACCCGGGCATCCCGATAAGGGCCCAACTCCGGACCCTCACAGGGCACGACCCCAGCAGACGGGACTAGGCAATCCCCAGACTGGAGCAAGGAAGGAGGGGATACAGCAGGGGACGCAGGCGCGGCACCGACCCCACCACCGGGCACAGGAGCCGAGGCCCCCCGGCGCACATCTTTCCGCAACACCCTTCACCGTTGTTAACAATGAACCAAAATAGTGTGATAGTGTGAAATATGCGTGAGAAGTAACGCTAGAGATTGGTAAGGTATTGGAGACGTGAGAGAGCAGACATTATTGATAACGCACAGGGAGCCCCTGATCATTATTGATAACACACAGGGAGCCCCTGATCATTATTGATAACACACAGGGAGCCCCTGATCATTATTGATAACACACAGGGAGCCCCTAATCATTATTGATAACACACAGGGAGCACAGGTGGTGGCGTCATTCACAGCATCAAACACAACAGTGTGTACACACCTCTCTACAACACTACTATCATCAATTGACTGGAACATGAAGCCTCATTCATAAGCATCAACACTTTTAGACCAGCCGTTCATTACAACTACATCACTGTTCAATTCACGAAAGCACTTACGAACGTGTACATCTTTCCTCAATCTTTGACGGCTTTGGTTACAGTTATTAAACAGTTTACAAGCATGAAAACTTACCAATCAACTGTTGTTATTGTTATAAACAGCCTCCTGGTGCTTCGGAGCTCATTAACTGTTTAATAATTGGAAACAAAGCCGCCAAAGGTCGAGAAAAGATGTACAGGTTCGTAAGTGCTTTCGTGAATCTGACTCTAGTACATTAGTACATCACTGTACAACCCTACAGTAATGTACAACATTGCAGTGAAACATTTGTAAAAGTTATAGCTGTGTTAACTCTTAAATACAGATGTGTAAACTAGGCAACACACCTGTTTAATCTATAAAACACAGGTGTGTAGACTAGACAACACAGCTGTGTAAACTTAAGTGCAGGTATGTAAACTAAACAACACATGTGCAGGTTCTATCACACAGGTGTGTGTGTAAACCAGAGAACACAGCTATATAGACTACATACATGTGTAAACTAGACGAAACAGGTGTGTAAACAATAGCACAGGTTTGTATACTTTACAACACAGCTGTGTAAATTGTAAAGCACAGGTGTGTAAGCCCTGAAGCATAGATGTGGTAGCTAGTCAACACAGGTGTGTAAACTACCCACCACAGGTGTGTGTAAACTACCCACCACAGGTGTGTAAACTACCCACCACAGGTGTGTGTAAACTAGCCAACTATGTAAACTCTAAAACACATACAAGTTTGTAAAATTAGATAAAACAAAGAAATACATCCATACATAAATATGTATTACCCACAAGTGTTCATTAAATAATTAGCAATTAATAAATATAAAATAGTATTAAGGAGATAAATAAATAAATATAAGATACAATATACAAATGGTCAGCGATAACTACCTCAGAACTAACTCATTAACAACCACAAACTACCGACTTTAAACACAACGGTCCACAGCCTCATCGGATACATTCACAATGTCAATGTTACAACCTCAAAATCAAAATTCTCTGCTTTAGAAGAAAAAAGTTTAGGCTAGGAGCTAAGGACAATGTTTTTTTTTTAATAATAATTAATTATTCTGCATGTTGTCGATGCGGTCAAAATCTATATACCTATACTACCTAAGGGAGCATCACCTTTTGCCTCTGTTCACCCAGCAGTAAGGAGATACTCAGGGGTTAGTTTGTGGGGTTGCATCCTAGGTAGGTGTTAGTAATTCGACTTATAGGGGGCAGGAGACCTTGATATAAGCCTAACGTGTATGAATACACTCTGGCTACCTGTCCCCTTACACAATGAATTATTAATTATTATTAGTAGTGTATTACATTTGCTATGGACGTATGATACTGAAGCTTTTAAATCCCTAAAATCTTATTTTCAAGATTGTTAGTAAAAATTATTTGAACTTTGCACCACTGTGGCGTTAACTGCCATTCTCATTGTGTTCCTACAACCCAGGCTACAGTTTCTTGGAGATCAGTGTGGTGAAGTGAGCGCACCAGCGCCTTCATCTCTTACTTCTGCAGGAACCGTAGGAGGCGAGGCTCGGGTCGAAGATCTCTTGCATACATCTCTCCACTCTCATCTGCTGGATACAACAACACTTGTGATATATAATTAATATTTAATGTGTTATTAAACATGCAAGTTTCTCAATAATGGTATTATCGTAGGGGACTCCACCGGACCCAACATTATGGAATCCGAGGCCTTGCCCTGGACTACATCCGATCCTATCTTAGTGACAGACACCAATGTGTGGCCATCAATGAGATAACCTCTCCCACTCTACCAATAACCGTTGGAGTGCCACAGGGCAGCATCTTGGGACCTCTCCTATTTCTTATATATATATATATATATATATATATATATATATATATATATATATATATATATATATATATATATATATATATATATCAATGATCTGCCTAATGTCTCTAAGATTCTTGAACCTATATTGTTTGCTGATGATACTACCCTCATCTATTCAGACCCTAACCCACATACACTAAATAATGTTGTGAATAATGAATTAAAAAAAGTCCACTTATGGATGTCAACCAACAAACTAACACTAAACATAGAAAAGACTTACTACATCTTATTTGGAAGCAAATCATCAAATGCAATTCAGCTACAGATAGACAATGTTAACATCAGTAATAAAAATGATGGCAAGTTTCTTGGCCTATTCCTAGACAAGAGACTCAACTTCAGCACCCACATACAACACATAACTAAGAAAGTCTCTAAAACAGTTGGTATACTCTCCAAAATCAGATATTATGTTCCTAACTCTGCTCTCCTCTCACTATATTATGCACTAATCTACCCCTATCTTAATTATGGTATCTGTGCATGGGGGTCTACCACTGCAAACCACCTTAAGTCCATCATCACACAGCAAAAATCTGCTATCAGAACAATAACAAACTGCTTTCAGACAACACTCAGCTCCCTTGTTTAACTCCCTAAACATGCTAAATATTAACTCCCTCCATACATTCTCTTGTGTCAACTACATTTAGAACACCCTGTTCTTAAGTACAAATCCTGCTCTGAAACTCTCCCTGGACAGATGTAATAGGACCCATTATCACCACACCAGAAATAAATATCTCTTTGATATCCCCAGAGTCAAACTTAATCTGTGTAAACACTCTATGCAAATTAAGGGACCTAGTCTATGGAACTCACTCCCTAATGAACTGAAAAGCTGTCAAACTTATGCCTCATTTAAAAACAAAAATAAAAAGTACCTAATTTCATCCTCATAGTTTCCTACTCTGTGCTCTAAATTTTCTCTGTATCTAGTGTTACCCAATCTTAATGTACTTAACCCAAACAACTTTACCATAGTAATCATTGCTGTCTTCTTATATGTGCTAGCCATATGCTGTATTGTGCCTATAAATTTTTGTTAAATCCCCATTCAAGCTGTCAATGCAATCAGTCTGAGCTACCTATGTACTTTAATATACCTACAAATCTCTCTCATCTCAATTTTTTTCCTTGCAATGAACCTGTTATCATTTTTTTTTTAAATTTTGCTAGTATTAACCTACTTAAAATTTTCTTTTACATTAAGGACCTGCCCGAAACGCTGCGCGTACTAGTGGCTTTACAAGATTGTAATCACTATGCTATGTATCCTCACAATCCCAATGTACCTTCTTGTACTGCCCGAAACGCTTTGCGTAATAGTGGCTTTAGGCATTGTATGTACTAGCTCCATCTATAAATCCATCACTCTTTGTAAAATCTCTTGTATGTATGTACCTTACCTAAATAAACATTTATTTATTTATTTATTTATGTATATAAATAAATAAATCAATAAATAAATGTGATGACGGAAGCCTCACCCACAAGGGGTATTGATTGGCGTGTTCTTTTATGGTCATATTTGGTTGTAACCAACTATACAGGTAAGGTGTATTTGCTTTAATTTTAGTTACTAACATATGTAGTCTTAACATTGTAGTGAATCTCTACCAATCGATAATTTCGATTGATAGGCTATATAATTTAATAAGCCCTCCCAGAATTTGTTAGAAATGATTTGTGGGAATAAACTCCTACAGTCCACTTTAAACATCATACAGTCTGCTATCGAAATAAATAAATTAAATTAAGAAATAAATTACTATGTAAATTATTTTAGATTAATAAATTGTAAATAAATCCATAAATCCCATGAGTCAGTTTTCGCCACATAAGTCACCATTGTTAGACTTAACCTCTGCAAGCAAGGCACTACGGGCTCACCATAGCCCGTGCTACTTGGAACTGTTCCAGGTAGCGAATCTTTAACAACAACAACTCTACAAGCTTCACATTAACAAATTTACCATTATTACATTTACCAAGTTTATTATACAATGTTAATCTCACGATGTTAAACTTCAAGTCATTTTAATTCACCAGCAGTGCATTGTTAACTTGCAATGTTATCATGTTATTTTACCCGAGGTAAAACTTGGATTACTAAAAGAGTCAGACAACAGTCAGTACTAAACAGCTGTGTTAATACTGACAGTTGCAGAGTGCCAGGGGCAGGTGCCCGCTACCCGAGGACGTGCCCAGGTGGCAGGGGCAGGTGCACGGTAACTGGTAAACGTGCCCACTACCCGAGGACGTGCCCAGGTGGCAGGGGCAGGTGCCCGCTAACTGGCAAACATGCCCACTACCCGAGGACGTGCCCAGGTGGCAGGGGCAGGTGCCCGCTAACTGGCAAACATGCCCACTACCCGAGGACGTGCCCAGGTGGCAGGGGCAGGTGCCCGCTAACTGGTAAACATGCCCACTACCCGAGGACGTGCCCAGGTGGCAGGGGCAGGTGCACGCTAACTGGCAAACATGCCCACTACCCGAGGACGTGCCCAGGTGGCCGGGGCAGGTGCCCGCTAACTGGCACACATGCCCAGTACCCGAGGACGTGCCCAGGTGGCAGGGGCAGGTGCCCGCTAACTGGTAAACATGCCCACTACCCGAGGACGTGCCCAGGTGGCAGGGGCAGGTGCCCGCTAACTGGTAAACGTGCCCACTACCTGAGGACGTGCCCAGGTGGCAGGGGCAGGTGCCCGCTAACTGGCAAACATGCCCACTACCCGAGGACGTGCCCAGGTGGCAGGGGCAGGTGCCCGCTAACTGGCAAACATGCCCACTACCCGAAGACGTGCCCAGGTGGCAGGGGCAGGTGCCCGCTAACTGGCAAACATGCCCACTACCCGAGGACGTGCCCAGGTGGCAGGGGCAGGTGCCCGCTAACTGGCAAACATGCCCACTACCCGAGGACGTGCCCAGGTGGCCGGGGCAGGTGCCCGCTAACTGGTAAACATGCCCACTACCCGAGGACGTGCCCAGGTGGCAGGGGCAGGTGCCCGCTAACTGGCAAACATGCCCACTACCCGAGGACGTGCCCAGGTGGCAGGGGCAGGTGCCCGCTAACTGGTAAACATGCCCACTACCCGAGGACGTGCCCAGGTGGCAGGGGCAGGTGCCCGCTAACTGGCAAACATGCCCACTACCCGAGGACGTGCCCAGGTGGCAGGGGCAGGTGCCCGCTAACTGGCAAACATGCCCACTACCCGAGGACGTGCCCAGGTGGCAGGGGCAGGTGCCCGCTAACTGGCAAACATGCCCAGTACCCGAGGACGTGCCCAGGTGGCCGGGGCAGGTGCCCGCTAACTGGTAAACATGCCCACTACCCGAGGACGTGCCCAGGTGGCAGGGGCAGGTGCCCGCTAACTGGCAAACATGCCCACTACCCGAGGACGTGCCCAGGTGGCAGGGGCAGGTGCCCGCTAACTGGCAAACATGCCCAGTACCCGAGGACGTGCCCAGGTGGCCGGGGCAGGTGCCCGCTAACTGGTAAACATGCCCACTACCCGAGGACGTGCCCAGGTGGCCGGGGCAGGGGGTACCAACCTCGGGCATCAGGACTAAGTAGAGCAGGGTTCTGGAGCAGGACAGCCATCCTGACGACAGGAATACGCAGTAGTTCTGTGATGCCAATGCAACCATCGCCATCAATGTCCAGGTGGCCGAGCGCCTCAGTCATGCCCGGGCCAGCTGGCCCAGAGGTCTGGCCGTCCTCTGTCAGTAGACTGGCCTGCAATGGCGGCCCATACTTCAACAACAGTCAAGGTGAAATACAATGATGTAATTATTTAAATTAATAATATTTACAATCAATTTAGGACATGTAAGGTTGAGTTAGGTGATATTAAGGCTACAAGTGTTGGTAGTTGAGAGATAATAATTGGTGACCACCATTTGGTCACCATTTGGTCCGGGAGACATCTCCCGTCACGCAGGGTGCAGTTGCGCCTCCACAGATCTCCAGTATCATCTTTTGATACTGGTAATGGCTCGAAAGGGCCACCACTTACGGGCTATTCATGCCCGTGCCACCTCTTGGGTGGCTTAATCTTCATCAATCATCAATCAATCAGATAATAATTATTGTGTATGAGAGGGTGAGACTCACGAGAGGTGGCAGGTCGCCCCGTCGACCTATCCTGGGCAGATGTTTGGGCGTCTCGGCGAAGAAGTGTCCGGCGTCAGCGTGCCCAACCGTCACCAGCGCCGCCACCACCGCCGTCATCACCACCCACGCCATACCTGTCATCATTTATAATATCACCATCATCAATCACATCCACACAACTTAGTACATTGATCATATCCCTCTTGTAGTTATCACAAGCTAAAGCACTACGCTACTTTAAGCATTTGATGCTCAGCAAATGCCAACGGCGAAAAAACTTACCAGTCTGAGTTGTTTTTTTCCGGTTAAAACACTGATTCTGATTGGCAAGGTTGACTTTGTTCTCAAGTCACAATCGCGGATCTGGATTCATGTCCTGAGCACGACACAAATGGTTAGGGTCGCTTCCTACCACACAATGCCTGTGATAGCAAGGCATCTGATATGTGTGTGTGTGTGTGTGTGTGTGTGTGTGTGTGTGTGTGTGTGTGTGTGTGTGTATGCGAACAAGCTTGAATGGTCCCCAAGCATATATACAACTGAACCCAGGGTGGGTTCAGTTGCATATACGCTTGCTTCTGCTTGCCTGAAGTCAAGAAGAAGTATACAATAGTGGTCGACGAGGCAAGACGCTGCTCCAGCCTTGCACTTCGGGACTTGCAGAGTTTGACTGACAAATTGCAATTCCCGACCGCAGTTATCCTGGAGAGACGGGCTTTCCTACGCCGCCTGCACCCACTCACAAATGGAGAGCATCGCCCCTCACATCCCTGTCGCCTCGGCACGGGAGCCAAGCTAGACCTGCAGGCTTGGGCTACTTTCGTGCAAACATACAACGGAGTAGCGAACTTCCTCTCCCGGCTGGTGGTACACCCACTTGGTAACAACGTGCGCTGATGCCTCGTCACGTGGCTACTGTCTCACGCTGGATGCGGCATGGTTTAGGGAAAAGTGGCCCTATACCTGCTCGCCTCTCAATATTGCTCTGTTGGAGCACTACTTTTTTTACTTGGGTCTGGCCCTCTTCACTCCGGTCTTAGCTAACAAACGGGGTGGTCTGTAATCAGATAACTGGGCAGTCGTGCACATGCTCTTCCCTTTCACGGCTAAATGCCCACTCATCATGCAAGTTGTCAGGCCCCTTGCCATACTTCTACTAACCCATAACATCAAACTCCTGTCTTCCCGTCTCCCAGGCAAGTTAAACAGAGTTTGTGGTGCTCTTTCACGCCTACAGGTACTGCCACCTAAGCTGCTAAGTGACACAGGACTCAGCGGAATCAGTCATGGTACCACCAAGCCTGTTGCCCTGCAACTTCTCCCTGCGACAGTAAACACGATCCTCAACTCACGTCAACCATTAACAAGGCGGACCTACCAGCATAAGTGGAATGACTATGCAAGTTATGCAGCGATGTGTATACGGGGAATATCTTACGGGGAACGGGGAACATACGGGGAACATCGGGGAATACTACTCTCCACACCTTCACATGTGCTGGCCAACTTCCTGCAGTCCTTGGTCTCGCGGGGGCTAGCGTATCCTACTATACGGCCTTCCCTCACGTCTATAGCCTTCGTCTCGCGGGGGCTAGCTTATCCTACTATACGGCCGTCCCTCACGTCTATAGCCTTCGTCTCGCGTGGGCTAGCTTATCGTACTATACGGCCGTCCCTCACGTCTATAGCCTTCGTCTCGCGGGGGCTAGCTTATCGTACTATACGGCCGTCCCTCACGTCTATAGCCTTCGTCTCGCGGGGGCTAGCTTATCGTACTATACGGCCGTCCCTCACGTCTATAGCCTTCGTCTCGCGGGGGCTAGCTTATCGTACTATACGGCCTTACCTCACGTCTATAGCCTTCGTCTCGCGGGGGCTAGCTTATCGTACTATACGGCCTTACCTCACGTCTATAGCCTTCGTCTCGCGGGGGCTAGCTTATCGTACTATACGGCCGTCCCTCACGTCTATAGCCTTCGTCTCGCGGGGGCTAGCTTATCGTACTATACGGCCGTCCCTCACGTCTATAGCCTTCGTCTCGCGGGGGCTAGCTTATCGTACTATACGGCCTTACCTCACGTCTATAGCCTTCGTCTCGCGGGGGCTAGCTTATCGTACTATACGGCCGTCCCTCACGTCTATAGCCTTCATGCTCAAACTGCACAGAAGGAAGGACCTCTCTCGTTCTTTCCTTGTACTGCAGCTACTCGAGGGAGCCCGGAGTGCATCACGAGCCACGGGCACTACTCCACGCCTGCCCTCCACTACTTCGACAACAGTGTCGGACTTGTATGTGACTGTCTCGCTTTGAATGTTAGACTGAATGATATTGTTATTCGTAGACGCCTTTGTTCTTGGCCGCAAGAATAGCTCGTTCACTCAGCCAATCATGATTCTTATAATTGGTTTGAATATTGGGAAATACTTTTTCAACAAGTTCTTCCTTTGACGTCACTAAATTGCAGAAGTTATTAGGCAGTGAAATTCGTCCTGAGGTCATATCAACCGGCACGTTTCTGTTCCCAATTTCCAGCAATTGATGTGAGAATATCTCAGCTGATGGATCGTTCTGCAGCTGGACACATATTTGTAGTTAATTTTAACATCTTTACGTGGCGCCACAAAGTAGAGTATTTAAGACAAGCATTTATTTCGTCCACTGGTGTCGACCAAGGAATTTATACAGTCTCCGTGGTGTGGTGGTAAGACACTCGCCTGGCGTTCCGCGAGCGCTATGTCATGGGTTCGTATCCTGGCCGGGGAGGATTTACTGGGCGCAATTCCTTAACTGTAGCCTCTGTTTAACGCAACAGTAAAATGTGTACTTGGATGAAAAAACGATTCTTCGCGGCAGGGGATCGTATTCCAGGGACCATAGGATTAAGGACGTGCCCGAAACGCTACGCGTACTAGTGGCTGTACAAGAATGTAACAACTCTTGTATATATCTCAAATTACAGGTAATGTTTGCCTGAGATCTCCTGCAAACAATATTAATGCGTTACCAAACGGTCTGATGTTTCCACGCAAATCTTGCAAATGATGGATATAGGGCCTCGAGCGATTTCTTCTCGGACATTGTGCATTTATCGCAAACAATAAGTTTGCATTTCTACAATACTTTTCCCTATGCTGGATGCTTTGGAAATGTTGCACGTGGGAGTTTCAATGAATTGCATGTTCAATGACAATTTCAAAGCCAAATGAGCAGTTCTTTCACCTGGTAGCAATGTCACAGCTATTTCGGACGACACAAGAGCTAAGGTTGTGCCATTTTGCGATCGAATTGCTGCCAGAATCACTCTAATTAGGAAGGTTTTACCGCTTCCTCCTGGCGCATCTAAAATGATTTCTCCAAGCCGGTTATTGACAGTTTGAATTATTTTATCGTAAGTGCCTTTTTTCTCAAGCGTTAGCTTAGGAATATTTGACAACAAATCAAATATTTCTACAACAACTATTCGACAACAAATCACACGTGTTGTAATTTTGTTCGCGACGCAATTCTACATCAGAGGAAGTAGCAGCAGATCATTTCGGTGATGGCACTTCCCAAATGATTGAGAACTTTGTTCCTAATTTCCAAATCACAAATCTTCAATCATTCTCAACGCTTCGTTGTAGATTTCTACTGTGAAATTCATGTTCAACTCGTGTTGGACGAGTCATTAATTCATGCATCCCAGTGTCGGTCGTTCTCCAATAAATTCAGAGCTTGACATGCACTACGGGACGTGGCATGTGTTACGCCATTGACAAATCTCAATGGCTGGAGAGACGTTGGATCCAGGCACATTTACCAACAGCATGTGAAGAAAGAAGCATTCATCCTGATTGGGATATATGGTGTACAGTCTGACTATCGTAGTTTATCTGAATCTGCCAGGTTGTCCGTCGACTCGCTCTCCTCGTTTGCGTCGTTCAAATGATTGTCTACTCATTCCATGTATAATACGGAGGCACTTCTGAATACAACAGTGTTTTAACAAACGCGTCATTCTGACATAACGTGAAGAAAGCAGTTAACGTTGTTGCTGGTGGATTCATAGCTATTTGTTGCACATTTGCAGCTGTGAAATAAACTCGTTGCCCATTTTCTTGTTTTCAAAACAAAAACATAACAAAAATAGTAACAAAATATTTCAATTCAAATGCAGATCAATCGACACAGCTCAATTCACCGCCACTGAAAATAAGAACAGATAAAAAAATAAAAAAATAAAAAAATAAAATAGAGTACACTCAGGAAATGAAGAGTAAGGTAAACAACACAGCTCAATTCCAATGCAATGTCACACAGAATAATTAAATCAAAATGAAAATAAGTCGAAATCTACAAAAATTCAATTTAACAATGCAATCGGAAACATTGAAATGTAATCGTAAAATATTTAATATAGCGTGTGTTGTTTTCACGTTCAACAAATAGCACTATTTTTCAAAAAAACATGTTTTTACCTGTCACAGGTGTGCCATCTATATAGTAGGTATATAAAAACACGCTCTTATACGAATGGAACGACGTGTCAAAATTTCAAAGCAATTGCTGAAGAACTTTCGGAGATTAGTGATTTTGAACAAACGAATATTTACATTTTTATATATATACTAGGAGTACCCGGCCATGCGTTACTGTGGCTCAGTAACGCATGTGCGTTGCTGAGCCACAGTAACCGTTCCCTGTCTCCCAGTCCCCTCGTCCGCTCCCAAGCATTCCTCACTCTCCAGTCCCCTCATCCTCCCTACCTTTCCCCTGTCCCCCGTCCCTTTGTCCACTCCACCGTCCCCTCGTCCTCCTAACTATCTCCCTCTTCCCCATCCCCCATTTTTACATGGGGACCATCAAGAAAGAGTCTTCAGTAGCAGACAAAAACCAACCGTATACTGCCGTTATGTAGATGACATATTCGTAATAGTAAAAGACTCAGATGAACTAATTGATCTAAAGATCCATCTAGAGTGTCAGTACTCCGATTTACACATGAAAATAGTGAAAATAACAGTCTGCCATTCTTGGATGTACTAATAACAAAAACAGGAACCTCTTTAAGCACCACAGTATATACTAAACAGGTATAGGTGAACAACGGATATAGCAACGCGGAAATAAACGCTGCTATAAGAAGACACTTGGACCGTTGGTATAATCCTGAACCTAGAACAGAAACCACAACACCCCCAATAAAATTATATTACAAATCAACCATGCACAGTGAACATATAAAAGAAGAAAGAATAATGACAGAAATAATGCGCAAAGGAGTAAAAAGCATTACTCCTGACCAAAACATAGACCTGATAATATTCTACAAAACCAAGAAGACTTCCGAACTCCTTATCAAAAACAGCCCGAAGCCGACGGAGAACCCTCTACAGCAGTCAAGCGTTGTATACATGTACACTTGCCCCCACGAAGGATGTAACCTTCAATGTAAGTACATAGGTATGACGTCGACCAAGCTGACGAGGCGTTTGACCTGTCATCTTCAATCCGGTGCCCCCAGGAATCACATGAGACAAGCCCCTGACATCACTCTAACAAGCGAAATGCTGAATAAAAACACTTGTATAATAGACAAATCCCAAGATGAAAGAAGATTACAAATTCTTGAAGCAATCCACATACAAATAGAACAACCCACCATGAACACCCAAATTACGGAACTATTCACTCTACCCACCATCTTGAGGTTATCTTGAGATGATTTCGGGGCTTTAGTGTCCCCGCGGCCCGGTCCTCGACCAGGCCTCCACCCCCAGGAAGCAGCCAGTGACAGCTGACTAACTCCCAGGTACCTATTTACTGCTAGGTAACAGGGGCATTCAGGGTGAAAGAAACTTTGCCCATTTGTTTCTGCCTCGTGCGGGAATCGAACCCGCGCCACAGAATTACGAGCCCTGCGCGCTATCCACCAGGCTACGAGGCCCCCACCCCCATACCTACGAGGCACTCTACCCACCATGAGAGTAAGGACAAGACCAGAACATGAAGATTCCAACATAGAAGACTCAACAAGCCATACCCACTACACCTGATTAATCTTTGTATGTGTTTTGTACCCTATTTAGCCTTAACCTACTCTTTTCCTCCTTCATGCCTTACTCTTTACCCTCATGTATACCCATTGTTTTCACTTGACCCCATTGTTCGATCCATTTGTATTCCCCTGACCCACTATTAGTATATACGTAATGTCCTGTACTGTCACATCACTTGAGAATGAACCATATGGGTTCCAAACGTTGTGCAATTTTATAATAAGTGTAATACATTCTACAGTTATTTCCTTCTTTCTCCTCACCTCGAAAACCAACATGACTTTTGAAGAACTCTTCCAACTGAACCCTGATGCAAGAGAACTATTTAGAGGAATAGAAGTCCTAAACCAGAAAACAGTAAATTCAGAATATGCTGTCATATTCAATGAGGCATGTATGTAAGAAAACCTGCTGCCAGTATACACCAATATATATATATATAATATATATATATATATATATATATATATATATATATATATATATATATATACCTGGTGGTACTTCACAGTACCACCAGGTACCTCACAATACCACCAGGTACTTCACAGCACCGCCAGGTACTTCACAGCACCGCCAGGTACTTCACAGCACCGCCAGGTACTTCACAGCACCGCCAGGTACTTCACAGCACCGCCAGGTACTTCACAGTACCGCCAGGTACCTCACAATACCACCAGGTACTTCACAATACCACCAGGTACTTCACAGCACCGCCAGGTACTTCACAGTACCACCAGGTACTTCACAGTACCACCAGGTACTTCACAGTACCACCAGGTACTTCACAGTACCACCAGGTACTTCACAGTACCACCAGGTACCTCACAATACCACCAGGTACTTCACAGTACCACCAGGTACTTCACAATACCACCAGGTACTTCACAATACCACCAGGTACTTCACAATACCACCAGGTACTTCACAATACCACCAGGTACTTCACAGTACCACCAGGTACTTCACAGTACCGCCAGGTACTTCACAATACCACCAGGTACCTCACAGTACCGCCAGGTACTTCACAGTACCACCAGGTACCTCACAATACCGCCAGGTACTTCACAGTACCACCAGGTACCTCACAATACCGCCAGGTACTTCACAGCAACAAGTACTCAACTTGCAAGCAATGTGTATTCTGAACACATTGTATTCTTCTAGTTTAAGACGATTTTAACATCTAGTTTAACATTAAGATGTTCATCTGGTATAAGACTCAAACAATATGCATTTTTTTTGTAACTTAAAAAGTCATAATAAACTCCTTCGTGAGTCGGATAATACGAAAAATGTTAGTTTTTATGAATAATAATAATTAAGGAAGAATATTTGAGGTTGTGTATCTTAAGCAGAAAGTAGGATGGGTATTCTTACCTGTTCTTCCGTTGAGAGATAATGCCATGAGAGGAAGTGTAATATAGAATCAGCGGCGGGAGGAGGAGCAGTGTGGCTGGCGGCAGGTCTAGAGGGTGAGTGAGGCCTGGCACCCCCGCCGGCCCTTATATACCCCCTGCGCACCACCTCCCGTCGCACACCCTTCTGCGCATCACCTCTTGGACAATTGCGTAATTCCAGGAATATTCCACCGTGGCAGTATAGCCTCGAACCAGTACCAGCTGCATAAATCATGTCTGTGTTGACAGCAGCAGCAGCAGCGCAGGCTACAGGAACAGCTTAGGCAACATAGAAGGGAACTGGTTGATGGACAAAGATGGTCTGGTCAGTGACGCGGTCTTCCGCTTCCCTGCTCCGCCATCTTGGGAACCTCTTCACGACGCGCTCCTCGAGAAGAAGAATTTTCTGGATTTTAATCCTTCTGTAAGTAAGTCATCCTTGTTACTTAACTGTTGCAACCTGCATGGTTGAATACAACATTATTCCTCAAGTTCAGATACGCTCTTGTAAACATCATACTCATCCTGTGGGTGGTGGTGGACCCCATACTCATCCTGTGGGTGGTGGTGGACCCCATACTCATCCTGTGGGTGGTGGTGGACCCCATACCCATCCTGTGGGTGGTGGTGGACCCCATACCCATCCTGTGGGTGGTGGTGGACCCCATACCCATCCTGTGGGTGGTGGTAGACCCCATACCCATCCTGTGGGTGGTGGTGGACCCCATACTTATCCTGCGGGTGGTGGTGGACCCCATACTCATCCTGTGGGTGGTGGAGGACCCCATACTTATCCTGCGGGTGGTGGTGGACCCCATACTCATCCTGTGGGTGGTGGAGGACCCCATACCCATCCTGTGGGTGGTGGTGGACCCCATACTTATCCTGTGGGTGGTGGTGGACCCCCATACCCATCCTGTGGGTGGTGGTGGACCCCATACCCATCCTGTGGGTGGTGGTGGACCCCATACCCATCCTGTGGGTGGTGGTAGACCCCATACTTATCCTGTGGGTGGTGGTGGACCCCCATACCCATCCTGTGGGTGGTGGTGGACCCCATACCCATCCTGTGGGTGGTGGTGGACCCCATACCCATCCTGTGGGTGGTGGTAGACCCCATACCCATCCTGTGGGTGGTGGTGGACCCCATACCCATCCTGTGGGTGGTGGTGGACCCCATACCCATCCTGTGGGTGGTGGTGGACCCAATACCCATCCTGTGGGCGGTGGTGGACCCCTACACCGCTGCTGTGGGTGGTGGTGGACCCATATCCATCCTGTGGGCGGTGGTGGACCCCTACACCGTTGCTGTGGGCGGTGGTGGACCCCACACCATTGCTGTGGGCGGTGGTGGACCCCACACCGTTGCTGTGGGCGGTTTTAGACCCCACACCATTGCTGTGGGCGGTTTTAGACCCCACACCGTTGCTGTGGGTGGTGGTAGACCCCACACCATTGCTGTGGGCGGTGGTAGACCCCACACCATTGCTGTGGGCGGTGGTGGACCCCACACCATTGCTGTGGGCGGTGGTACATATGATACAGCAACACATAAGTTCAAAGAATGAAGGGATAATATAGAATTTGAGGAAATATAAAATATATTAATTAGATCTTTAGTGACCATGTATGTACTCACCTAGTTGTACTCAGTTGTGTTTGCGGGGGTTGAGCTCTGGCTCTTTGGTCCCGCCTCTCAACTGTCAATCAACTGGTAAAGTGTGTGTTCAGACGCCAGTGTTTTGATACATGTGTCGCTCTCTGCCACGCTCGGAGCAACAGATGTTTCTGGCCACGCTCGGAGCAACAGATGATCCTGGCCACGCTCGGAGCAACAGATGATCCTGGCCACGCTCGGAGCAACAGATGATCCTGGCCACGCTCGGAGCAACAGATGATCCTGGCCACGCTCGGAGCAACAGATGATCCTGGCCACGCTCGGAGCAACAGATGATCCTAGCCACGCTCGGAGCAACAGATGATCCTAGCCACGCTCGGAGCAACAGATGATCCTGGCCACGCTCGGAGCAACAGATGATCATGGCCACGCTCGGAGCAACAGATGATCATGGCCACGCTCGGAGCAACAGATGATCCTGGCCACGCTCGGACCAACAGATGATCCTGGCCACGCTCGGAGCAACAGATGATCCTGGCCACGCTCGGAGCAACAGATGATCCTGGCCACGCTCGGAGCAACAGATGATCCTGGCCACGCTCGGAGCAACAGATGATCCTGGCCACGCTCGGAGCAACAGATGATCCTGGCCACGCTCGGAGCAACAGATGATCCTGGCCACGCTCGGAGCAACAGATGATCCTGGCCACGCTGGGAGCAACAGATGATCATGGCCACGCTCGGAGCAACAGATGATCCTGGCCACGCTCGGAGCAACAGATGATCCTGGCCACGCTCGGAGCAACAGATGATCATGGCCACGCTCGGAGCAACAGATGATCCTGGCCACGCTCGGAGCAACAGATGATCATGGCCACGCTCGGAGCAACAGATGATCCTGGCCACGCTCGGAGCAACAGATGATCCTGGCCACGCTGGGAGTAACAGATGATCATGGCCACGCTCGGAGCAACAGATGATCCTGGCCACGCTCGGAGCAACAGATGATCCTGGCCACGCTCGGAGCAACAGATGATCATGGCCACGCTCGGAGCAACAGATGATCCTGGCCACGCTCGGAGCAACAGATGATCCTGGCCACGCTCGGAACTACAGATGATCCTGGCCACGCTCGGAGCAACAGATGATCCTGGCCACGCTCGGAGCAACAGATGATCCTGGCCACGCTCGGAACTACAGATGATCCTGGCCACGCTCGGAACTACAGATGATCCTGGCCACGCTCGGAGCAACAGATGATCATGGCCACGCTCAGAGCAACAGATGATCATGGCCACGCTCGGAGCAACAGATGATCCTGGCCACGCTCGGAGCAACAGATGATCCTGGCCACGCTCGGAGCAACAGATGATCATGGCCACGCTCGGAGCAACAGATGATCATGGCCAAGCTCGGAGCAACAGATGATCCTGGCCACGCTCGGAGCAACAGATGATCATGGCCACGCTCGGAACGCCAACGGACTTAGTATATTGAATTTTACGAGATATGAGTAAAGATGTTTGTAATTTTTTTTCAAATATTATTTTCAAATATTCAAATAAATATTCAAATAAAAATTAAAATATTATTTTAAATATTTCAAATATTTCCTCCTATATAGACTGGCGTTACTCCTGCTTTTTTAAGGATATCAGGGAAGGTGCGACACTCAAGGGATTTGTTGAACAGCAGAGCTATGGGGGGCGCAAGGGCGTGGGGGCGCAAGGGCGTGGGGGGCGCAAGGGCGTGGGGGGCGCAAGGGCGTGGGGGGCGCAAGGGCGTGGGGGGCGCAAGGGCGTGGGGGGCGCTCTTGTATACAATGGATGGTATTTCACTGATGTTCCCAGCTTTGGTTTTTAGTGAGTGTATGATGGACACATCTGTCGGGCTGACTGGTGAAAGGAGAAGAGAGTTTGGATAGTTGCCTGAGAGATATGTGTTAACATGTGTCTGGGTCTGTGGGATTTTACTGGCAAGGTTAGCAGCAATCGATGAAAAGAAGCTGTTAAATTCTGTTGCCGTTTCAAGATCTGTTGTAGGTGTATAACCATCCTTGGAGAGTTTTATCTGGTTATGTGAATGTTGTTTAGCTCCTAGGGTGGTAGAGATGGCTCTCCATGTGCTTTTAATGTTGCCTTTTGCTTCTTTGAATCTATTCTCGTAATAGTTTTGCTCTTCGTAATATATTAGTAAGCACCACGTCTCCTGGTTACCCTCAATGGTCTTTCTTACTCCTTGCCTGCTGGTAGTCTTTCCGTCCTCTGTGTTGACGGCCGGATAAAACTTTCCTCGAACTGCTGCTTCACCTTGCGACAATGTCGTGTCGTCTTGGACCACCAATCATGGCTTCAAGTTCTCTACAACTAAGACCTGTGTCATGACCTTTACTGGGAGGCGGGTAGATCTTCGTCTCCCTCTGTAACTTTATGGTCACCTCTGTGTACAAAGGTTCCGCTAAGGTTTTGGGGTTAATCTTTGACACTCGTTTGTGTTGGTCGGTCCATATCTCTTACCTCCGAGTTGAATGTTTTAAGGCCCTTAACCTCCTTAAGGTTTTGTCGCTTGCAAGACAAGGTTCTTGCAAAGTTGCAAGGTTCTCTCTAGGTTCATGTTACCAATATAGGACAGCTGTACAGGTGTCAGACGGTCATGGTGGGCCACGGAGGTATATATAGACAGGTGTACAGGTGTCAGACGGGCCTGGTGGGCCACGGAGGTATATATAGACAGGTGTACAGGTGTCAGACGGTCCTGGTGGGCCACGGGGGTATATATAGACAGGTGTACAGGTGTCAGACGGGCCTGGTGGGCCACGGAGGTATATATAGACAGGTGTACAGGTGTCAGACGGTCCTGGTGGGCCACGGGGGTATATATAGACAGGTGTACAGGTGTCAGACGGTCATGGTGGGCCACGGGGGTATATATAGACAGGTGTACAGGTGTCAGACGGGCCTGGTGGGCCACGGAGGTATATATAGACAGGTGTACAGGTGTCAGACGGTCCTGGTGGGCCACGGGGGTATATATAGACAGGTGTACAGGTGTCAGACGGTCATGGTGGGCCACGGGGGTATATATAGACAGGTGTACAGGTGTCAGACGGTCCTGGTGGGCCACGGGGGTATATATAGACAGGTGTACAGGTGTCAGACGGTCCTGGTGGGCCACAGGGGTATATATAGACAGGTGTACAGGTGTCAGACGGTCCTGGTGGGCCACGAGGGTATATATAGACAGGTGTACAGGTGTCAGACGGTCCTGGTGGACCACGGAGGTATATAGACAGCTGTACAGGTGTCAGACGGTCCTGGTGGACCACGGAGGTATATAGACAGCTGTACAGGTGTCAGACGGTCATGGTGGGCCACGGAGGTATATATAGACAGGTGTACAGGTGTCAGACGGTCCTGGTGGGCCACGGGGGTATATAGACAGGTGTACAG